CCGAAGATCTCACATCTGAGGATTAGCTCTTACTTCAGTTTTCATTATCTAAGTCATGAGGTGGTTGAATATTTCTCCCTGTGTTTATTAGTTTGAATTTTCTGTGAGTTTCCTATCTATATATCCAGTCTGTATTTTTCTGTTTGGGTGTTTGCATTTTTCTTATTGGTTGCTGCTTATTCTTTATATATTTGTCTTCATGATAACTTTGTTATATTTTAACATTGCACGTGATAACTTTATTATAAAGTTCTCTTTTTTTGCTTTGCTTTGTTTTTCGAGACAGGGTTTCTCTGTGGCTTTGGAGGCTGGCCTGGAATTAGCTTTTGTAGACCAGACTGGTCTCAAACTCACAGAGATCCACTTGCCTCTGCCTCCCTAGTGCTGGGATTAAAGGCGTTCACCACCAATGCCCAGCTATTATAAAATTCTTTAAAACTCCTTTTTGAGATCTCAGTATGTAGTACAGGCTGCCTTTGAACTTTGTCTTCCTGTGGTAGGCTCCACAATACTAGGATTGTTGCTACAACCACCACGGCCAACTTTATGTGGGGGAGAATGAGGGAGAGAGGCAGGAGGGGAATCCCCTGGGAAGTTGCTGAAGTAAAGGTCATGTGCCACACTTCAGTGGTCTGTGTGGAGATGTGAATCCCCGGGGGACTTGCTGAAGTAAAGGTCATGTGCCACACTTCAGTGGTCTGTGTGGAGATGCTGACTCTGCAGGCTCCATATGGTACCAAGATTCATCAACAACTTTTGTGATAAGAAAAAAGAAAAAGATGCCTGGGGAGAAGGCCAGGTGGATTATGGAGAAAGTTTGCAATCCTTACGATTTTGTTTTCAGTGTGTTTTCCCTTGGCACCTCCTGACAGCTAATAGTATGGCTAATAAGGATTTAGCTCTGTGTAAAGGGTTTTTCCTCTCCCAATTTTTCATGTGTCTTTAATAAATTCTATCATGTGTAAAAAAACTTTCTCAGAGGCACAGATTTTCTACTTTGAAAGTCTCTGTTTTAGAGGGCTGGTTTGAGGCTGTGTAAATTATTTAGAGGGTCGGAAGCAGTCAACAATATTAGCTGGCTTTGGCATCGCCACAGCCTAAGGTCTTGGTGTCTGGTGTACCTCAGTAGCTCTGAACTAGCCAGCCTGAAAGACCAGTTTTTGAACAGCTACTTTTTCAGCGTGTCTTTGAGACCTTTCTAAACAAAGTTCTAGATGCCAGGGCTGTCACTCTGCCATTTTTGCTGTTGGCAAGAACAAAGAAGAGGAAGATTGGTTTAGATCTGCACTGTAGGGCAGAGGTTAATGTCACCCTAAAAGATAGAACTCTGTAGACGGTGAGAACTTTCTCTCCCTCTTACTTGTGTTATCTAGAATTCTCAACATTAATGTCGTTTGACCCGAGTTCTCTCTATGCCTGGAAATAGTGAATTTTGAGGGTTGGCTGCTAGAGAACTTGAATTTGTAAAGGATCTGAAAGGATGTGAGAGTCTGCCCTTATAGTGGGAAATTACCAATACGGAGCCAAGTAGAAATATAAGGGTATTTAATAGGGAAAAACCTTACTTACAGAGCAACCTAGCCAGCCGGCGTGGCAGCAGTCTGTCCAGCAAGTACAAAAGTAAAACCGAAAGAGAAATGCAGTCCCCTGAAAGTCTCACTCTATGTCACCCTGACCACGCCCTGGCAAGTGTGGTCAGGCACACCTGTAGCCAGCCCCTAAGTAGGCATGGCTACAGCTTCCCCTACATGCCCTACTAATGCTTTGGATGCCGTTGTTAGTTAACCTTCCTCTTGACTGTGATCCACATGCCTGACAGGCAATTTAAAGAATGAGAGATTGATTTCCACTTATGATTTCAGAGGGTTCAGTCTGTCATGGTGTGGGAGCCACTTACATCATGGTGGGTCAGGAAACAGCCAGGGAAAGATAACTTGAGGACACACCCAGGAACCTGCTGAAGGTTCTAGAACCTCCTAAAATAGGACCACCAATTGTAAGCATGAATAATAAGTGGCCCAGGGACAGATAGATCAGGGAAACAAAGCAGCTGGCTACTAACTCTTACCTCTACCTCAGGCTGAATGGGCTGATCCTGTCTCCACGAGCTTTCACCAAGCCTCAGACTGTAGCCTCTTCTCAGTGTGGCTGAAGAATGAATGTCTCCTACCTTCAGTGTGACTGGAGAATGAATGCTTCCTACTGAATACTGAAGACCCTGCCTCTATCTATTTGTTTTTGTATTTATCTTGTTTTTACATTGAGACTACAGTTTTTCCCCCTCTTCTTCTCCCAATCCTTTCCTCTTCATTTTCCCTTCTCCCCCCATCCTCTCCTCCTCTTCCATTTTTCTTCAGAAATGGGAAGCCCTCCCATGGATATCAACCAGCCATGGTATATTAAGTTTCAGTGAGACTAGGCACCTCCTCTCCTATTAAGGCTGGATTAGACAACCAGTAGGAGGAAAGGGTCCCAAAAGCATGCAGCAGAGTCAGAGACAGCCCCTGCTCCCACTGTTAGGAGTCCTACTAGAAGACTAAGCTACACAACTGTAACATATATGCAGAAGACCTATGTCAGTCCCATGCAGGCTTCTTGGTTGGCAGTTCAGTCTATAAGTACCTATGGGCCAAGGTTAGACACCTGGCATAGGTGGGGGCACATATCTGGGAAGAACTAGAAACTGAGTACTGGAAACTCAGAAATCTGTGAGGGTAACCCTAGTTAAGACTCCTATCTATGTCCAAATTTCTTTAACCACTGTTTCCTTGGTTTGGGCTATAGCTCAGTGGTAGAGTGCTTACTTAGCAAGTAATCTCTATTATGACTCCCTCCAAAATATGTACCTGGGGCTGGGAATATAGCTGTACTTGCCTAGATCCTGGTTTCTATCCCCAGTAGTGTTGTCATGGGAAACAAAACAAAACCAGCTACATTCTCCTTGTCAACTTTTTCTTCTTTTAGTTTTTCGTGACAGGGTTTCTCTGTGTAACAGCCCTGAATGTCTTGAAACTCGCTCTATAGACCCGGCTGGCCATGAACTCACAGAAATCACTTGCCTCTGCCTCCCTAGTGCTGGGATTAAAGGCGTATTCAGCATCGTTGTTAACTTTTATTATCTTCCTTTCCTGTGTAGACTGCATAATTTTGAAATCCTTCCACTCTTATTTTTCCTTATTTTCAATAAAAGACTGGCTGAAGCAGATAACAATAGCCATGCCACAGCCTGAATGTTATAGTTTTGAAATTTCCTCTGTCAAGTTACTTTGTGTATTATTTTGAAATCAGTCTTACTCAAATTCACATTATATAGACAAAATATAGAAAAGTTTTTGGCCGGAGCACAACATGAAAACACTGTAATTTGTTCTTAATAACATCCTTTTCCCATCTGAAACCTTATGAATGGAGTGTTTGCTGGGTGACTTTGTGTTGCTATTCTGGCCACCTAAGCTCCCATCAGAGTTAACTGTTGAGCTCTGCTTATAGCATCCAAGGACTTCTCTAGGCTGCACCCAAACTTCCTGCCCACAAACTAGTTCCAGTGACCTAAGAACTGCATGATCAGGTTCAGTCATTAATGACCCCTGTTTTTGTTACCCTTTTCCTGGGTTCAAGTTAAGTTTGTTTTCTCACAATCATGAAGGACAATGGATAAGGACAACAGAAGAAGGGCAAGCAAGCAAGCAAGCAGGATTTTATTGACAGAATAATAGTTCCCTGCAGCAAAAGTGGGTCATGAAAATGGGCTGCTCAGTTGTGTTTTGGAACAGGCATCATATGTCTTAGGAATGATTTGGTCCCACCAACATGTAAATTAGGCATCTGGTTGGGATGAATTTGCCTGGCTAATTTGAATGTGTGTGGGGAATTCTGATTGGCTAGAGTGCTAGAGCACAGGCTCAGGAAAGCCTCAGCAGAGAAAAAGGCACCAAGACTTTGTATGTGTCTGTGTGTGCTGGTGGGAGAGAGGCACTGAGAAGTTCCGGAGGGTGGGGCTGGTGGGAGAAAGGCACCAAAAAGTGCCAAGCAGGGGTGAAGGTGTGGGGGGAAGAACCAAGACAAAAAAAGCAATGGTTGGTGGTTGACTGATAGCTGGATGGGTCAGAGCTTTGGGATATAAGCTGTTGAGTTCACCAATTATATAAAGTTTGTCCTAAAACTTAAGTGTTCTTGGGTCTGACAGTGGATTCTGCTGGGACATGTAGACACATTTTCCTTGTGCCTGTAACCCTAAGTGCCTATAGAATGGGGATGCCTTGCTCCTATCAGTTTGATACGAGTTTCCTGTATTATTTTCATACCACTGTGACCAAATTACTTGACATACATAGTTTAGAGGAGAAAACATTTATTTGGTATGAAGTTTTAGACATTTCAGTCCATTATGGTGAGGAATACATAGCACAGGGCACGTCTGTTCACATTGTGTTGGGCCTGGACCAGCTGAAGAAAGTAGCCAGAGATACCTTAAGGACCCATCCCCAGTGACTTGCTCTCCTTATCTAGGTTCCGCCTCCTAAAACCTCCAGAATCTATTGAAATGGTGCCACCAACCATGTGTTCAAGTCATGCACCTGTGGGGGACATAGAGTCAGATTATAAAAGTGGCTATAAATAAAATGTGATCAGGGTCAGTAAGGTGATCCCTCTCTCTCACCTACACATGTGCACACCTGCCTAATGTCAGTGAATAAATGTTAAAAAATTAAAGCTTCCCAAAATTAATTTTTCTGTATTATTGTTGCCTGTATGAGTATTGCTGTTAACATAAAATATATCTGGTTAGTAGAATTTAATTTTTTTTGGTAGCCTAGTTCCTGTAATGTGAATTTTCTCAGTACTTGCTTCTCTCTGGTATGACTTACACTGTGGATAGAAATGTTAAGACATGTGTACATTAGTGTAACATCCCTCTTTGGAGGTCAAGAGAATTGTCATTGCCAGAGTATAGTGTGTGTCACTTGTCTCTTATAATGATTGCATTTCTTCTTTTTTAGGTGATACAGTTAATATTGGAGATGTGTCCTACAAGCTGAAAACACCCAAGAACCCAGAACTTGTCCCACAGAACTACAGTAAGAAATGATATTTGTGAATGGATACATTTTTAAATTTCATTGTGGGCATTAAAAAAAAATTAGAATGGCTGATGTAAACCCAGGGTACTGTCATCAGTCTCATGCAGTATAGTGTATAGTGTTTTTGTTGGCTTCTTGCTTTGGAGTGGTTAAGTCAGTCTGAGGCATCTCCTCGTTTGTGGCTTTTTTCAGAAGTGTCCATGTTCATCACATACTGTGGCTTGAGTTGGGTATTAAATATTACAAAATACATTCAGTAAAAATCAGTTCTTATTTGGTTAATTTTGATCATTTTATGAAGTTGTATGGACATCATGATCACTCATCACTGCTAAACACCCTGTGTGTCTGATTCCCTGCCACGGAAACCACTGTGCTCTTCTTAGCCCCTCCCAAACCCCCTGTGTGTCTGATTCCCTGCCACGGAAACCACTGTGCTCTTCTTAGCCATACTAAATCAGCGGCATCTATTTCTTAGGTTTATGAAAATAGTGGCATTATGCTGTTTGTGTGTGTGTGTGTGTGTGTGTGTGTGTGTAATGTCTGTATGTATCTGGCTTCTTTCCATTAAGAACATGAATTTAAGGCTCATCCATGTTGCTGGACCTATCCATTGTGAATTTTGTTTTATTGAGATTGAATTCATACACTATACAGTTCACATTAAAGATCTATTTTATGAGTGTGTGTGTGCCTGAGTGTATGTATGTGCACTGCATGTGAGCATGTGCCTGGAGAGATGATGTCTGTGTTGGGGTCTGAATCTGTGTCCTCTACAAAAGCAGCAAGTGCTCTTAACTCTCTCTCCAGGCCCAAAGTCCACCGTCTTAAAATAGCCATTCAGTTTTTCTGAGTTGTGCAGTCATCACCACTGTCTCACCTCTGTGCAATTTTGTCATTCCTAAATAGAAAAAGTATGACCATTAATGGTCATTCCTTCATGCCCTCTTTCCTCCTTTCCCTCATCTCCAGCCATAGGCAGTCACTGCTACTGTGTCTCATATTACTCTTCAGTTGCCTGCTTTGGACATGTCGTTGGCAGTGCGGCCATATACCAAGTGGTTTTTCTATCTGGCTTATTTTATTAATGGGATGTTTTTAGTGTAATGTTTGAGGTTATGACATGTGTTACTTCATTGCTATTTATGACTGAATAATATCCCATTATATGAATAGTTTATATTTATTTTACTTATTCATTAGTTGATGGGCATTTTGGATGGGCATTGTTTCTTTTTGGGTGTATTATAAATAATATTGTTACAGAAAATTTTATACAAAAAGTGGTTTTGTGTTGTTGTTGCAAACATTCATAGGAGAGGAATTGCTTGGCCATATGGGAATCCTGTTTAAAGTTTTGAGGAATTACCAACATGATTTCAAAGGAGTTTCAGCATTTTACATTGCCATCAGCAGTCCTCATTAGTACTTGTTATTGTCTCCTTTGGTTGGTGTTTGTTTGAGATACTAGGAATTGAAGCCTAGCCCTCGTGCTGGCTACATCAGCATTAGCCATTCCGCTGCAACCCCAGCCTTCTTTAATTTTTATTTTTAGAATTTCAGACAGGGTCTCATGAAGTTGCCCAGCATGGCTTTGAATTCACTGTGTTACTCAACCAGCCTTTGACCTTCCTGTCTTAGTCTCATGTATATCTGGGATTATAGACCTGCGCTACCTGGCTCTGCCTTTTTGGAAGTAGTACTTTCGGGTTTTGATAGGCAGCTCTCAAATAACTTGCAGTCATTTCATTGCTCAAAATAATTTCACCCTGTCTCTCAAAATTTAAAGTATCTTTCTAATAGCCTGGGAAATTAAGTTGACCTTGGGAAGGTTAGTCATTAGCTGTTTTGATCTGGCCTTAGGCTCAGTTCATCTAGCCTCCTATTCTGTATTCCTTTTTTTAAATTTATTTTTTATGTATATATATATATATATATATATATATCTCACCCCTATCTCCCAGTATCCAAAATAGTGACCTCTGTTCCCTCCTCCCCCTTTTTTTTTTTTTTTAAAATTAGCTATTCTGTATTCCTTTTTTTAAATTTATTTTTTATGTATATATATATATATATATATATATATATATATTTTTATCTCAACCCTTTCTCCCAGTATCCAAAATAGTGACCTCTGTTCCCTCCTCCCACTTTTGTGCTTTTATTGTCATATGAATTATAACCATACACATAGATCTGGGGTTGGGTGATAGTGAAAGGGATGACCATGCAAGCATGAGATAACTTAGTTTGTTTCTCAGACCCCACATAAAAAAGCTGGGAGTAATGTTGCATGCTTGTGTTCCCAGCCCTGGGGAGGCAGAGACAGGCAGATTCCTGGGATTGAAAGCAGGCTACCCTTACCTAATTGGTGAGGTTCAGACTAAGTAAGAGATAAGTATCTGTTTTATAAACCAAGAACAAAAATGCTTGAGGCATGATGCCCAAAGTTGACCCTGGCTTCCTTTCGTAAGCACCTGTGCCACCCCTCCCCCCATTTTCACTCAGCCACATAAACACACACACACACACACACACACACACACACACACACAAAACAAAACAAAAAAAACAGTCCTGACAGTTTTATCATCATTGTTTTATAAAGTTGTCTTTTGAGGCTGCAAAAGGAAAGTACAGACAAAAGCATGTTTATGTCTTTATGTTTATCCATGCAGTTTCTTTTGCCATTTCTTGGGTAAATTTGAATTGCTGTCTAGTGAGCTTTTATGTCAGCCTGAATTTTTTTGTACTGCAGCTCAGCTATGGATGAATGCTCTGTTTTTGTTATTTAGAAATGCCTTAATTTTTTCTTCCTGTTTTGAAGGATAATTTCACTGACTACAGATTTCTCAGCTGACAGTTTTTGTTTCTTGTTTTGTTTTGGCATTGTGAATATGTTATCTTGGTGCTTCCAGCCTCCCTGGTTTCTGTGAGGGTCACTTATTGATCTCATCAGTAACTCCCCCCTACCCCTTATGCCGTGGTGAGTCATTTATCACTTTCTCCTTCTTATACAGGTTCTTTCTGGCTTTTGATGATTTGACTGGGGTCCTGTCCTAGAAGCCTGGTCTCCATTGTGAGTGTGCTGGGATGATGGGAACTTGGCCCTGACAATGATCTGTTTTACAAAGACCAAGTCTTGCCTTCCCCACTGTTCGTCTTCCCATTCCATTGATTTCTCTTCCTCTCACATACTCTTACCAGGTATTTGGTTATAACAATAGAAAACAGACTTAATACAAGTTAATTAAGTGCTGACTTCTGACTTTTTCCTGTTCAAAGTTTGTCAAGCTTCTTGGTTGTTGAATGCCAAGATTTTGGCCATTTTTCCCCCTTAAATCTCGGTCCCTCCCTACCCCTGTCTCCCTATCTTTCTTCTCTAGACTTCTTATTATTGGCATGTTGATAGAATTCATAACCCCTCAGCACCTGAGACTGTTCCTCCTTTTCATTTCTGTTCATAGGCTGGGTTGCATCCGTTTGTCTGTCTTCAGGTTTGCCTTGTTCTGCATCCATCCAGGGATCCATCTTTCCATCAGATGATTCTGTTACTTGCTCACATCTGCTTCTTAGCCCGTCTAGTGATTTTTTTTTTCCTTTTACTTACTGTAACTTTCAAGTTCATAGTTTCTGTTGGGAGTTTTAAAATAATTTCTGTCTATTTACATTGTTTGCTGACACATTGTTGTCATGCTGTCCTTTAATTCCTTACTCAGTTTCTTTTCATTCTAAAAATGTATTTATAATAACCAATTGCTTGTTGTCCTAGTTTGCTTTCTTTTTTTTTTGTTCACTCATTTGTTTTATTATTTTTTCTTTTTTTTTTTTTTGAATTAGAAAGAAGATTGTTTTACATGACAATCCCAGTTCCCTTCTCCCTCCCATCCTCCCCTACCACTCCCCCAACTAAAACCCTACCAATCACATATCCTTTCGGCTTCCCCTGGATGGTGAGGCCTTCCATAGGGGGGTCATCAGTGTCTATCGTATCCATTGGGATAGGGCCTAGGCCCACACCCATGTGTGTTGGCTCAGGGACTATTCCTCTATGTGGAATGGGCTCCCACAGTCCTCATCTGTGCTAGGGATAAGTACTGAACAACTACAGGAGGTCCTGTAGATTTCCGAGGTTTCCTCACTGAAACCCATGTTCCTGGGGTCTGGATCAGTCCCATGCTGGTATCCCAGCTATCAGTCTGGGGAACAAGAGTTCCCCAATGTTCAGGTCAGCTGTTTCTGTGGGTTTCACCAGCCTGGTCTGGGCTTTTCACTCGACCTTCTCTGCACCTGCACGTTAAAACCATTAATGTTGAGGGATATTAATGACCATTGATTGTTCATTCTTTTCTGTTTTTGATTTGGTGATGGTGGTGAAATTATGTGTGGGATTCTATCCCTTTTTCCTTTTGGCTGTTGGTAAAGTGGGATTATCTATGGCCTATATTTTTTTGGTTGTACTTAATTTCTTGGGTTGCAGTTTTCCTTCCAGAATTTTCTGTAGGGCTGGAATGGTGGATATGTATTGTTTGAATCTGGTTTTGTCATGGAATATCTTTTTCACTCGACCTTCTCTGCACCTGCACGTTAAAACCATTAATGTTGAGGGATATTAATGACCATTGATTGTTCATTCTTTTCTGTTTTTGATTTGGTGATGGTGGTGAAATTATGTGTGGGATTCTATCCCTTTTTCCTTTTGGCTGTTGGTAAAGTGGGATTATCTATGGCCTATATTTTTCTAGTTGTAGTTAACTTCCTTGAATTGTAGTTTTCCTTCCAGAACTTTCTGTAGGGCTGGATTGGTGGATATGTATTGTTTGAATCTGGTTTTGTCATGATGGAATATCTTGTTTTCTCCATCTATATTAATTGAAAGCTTTGCTGGCTATAGTAT